AATATTTTGATCCCTAACAAACCCTAAACCCTCAAAATTAAACCCTAATAGAACATAGTTAACCCAAACATAAATAATATAATGAATAGATAATTTTGAAAAAGTGATATTTTTGCAAAGATTTTGAAAATGTGACATATTTGAAAAGTGGTACTTCAAAAGTGGCATTTTTCAAAATTTCTCTTATAATTTTATTTAACATATTTAATTTATAGAAGAATTTAAAAATCAATTTATCATATTATAAATAAAATTATAATGTAAAAATTATAATAATAGAGTTAACTAAAATAATCAAAAGCTATTAATATATAACTAATTATAAATCTAAACAATTATAATAATATAGTTAATAGCTTTTGATTATTATAAATCTAAAAAATTATAATAATATGAAATTTAGTAACAAAAGCTATAGTATATATAAATATCATTTAAGAAAATAATGAAAACATAAAAATTAAAAAATAGAGAAATTTTGAGAAATGTCACTTTTGGGATACCACTTTTATAAAATACCACTTTTTCAAAATCATTTATTCAATAAATCATTTATATTTGGGTTAAATATGTTGTATTAGGATTTAGTTTTGATGGTTTAGAGTTTGTTAAGGGTCAAAACATTTCTTAAGGTTTAGAATTTTAAGATTTAGGGGCTTAAAAATCTTTAATTAGTGGTATTTTTGTAAAATTTTTGAGAAATGGTATTTTTGACAAATGGCATCCCGAAAATAGCATTTTTGTAATTGTCCCAAAATAGATAATTCAATTAACATCCATATGAAAATATAATATTTCAAATAAAATATTAATATAACTAGAACATAAAAGAGTTAATGATTTAATGATAAAAAATTAGTACTTTAAATTTTATAAGTTACTAAAAATAGAGAAAGTTTTAAAAATGCCACATTTTCAAAAATTTTGCAAAATCGCCACTTTTAAAAAAAAAATAATTTCATTATATCATTTATGTTTAGGTTAAATATTGTATTAGGGTTTAGTTTTGAGGGTTTTAGGAGTTTTACGGGTCAAAACATTTTTTATGGTTTATAATTTTAAGATTTAGTCTTTAAAAATTCATAATAGTGGCATTCTTGCGAATGTACACACCAAAAGTGGTATTTTTACAATTGTCCTCTAAATATATGTACATAAAGAAAATAACGAGGAAATTTTAAAATGCCACTTTCAGTGAGTCGATTTTTAAATTATCCATTTTAAAAAATCCACTAATTAAGAAAAAATTAAAGGAAAATTAGGCTATATATTACGTAATGGACATCTAATTCATTATCTAACATACAATAAATTAAAATGTAGTGACTAACAATATCATGTTTGATATTGCCAAGAGTTTAAGACAGACTCCTCTGACCTGGTGGATATCGTGCAGTATCCAGAGGAATGGCCTGCGTTCTCCATTCTATCAGATAGATTCAGAGATTTGCAAAACCATTTTTCCCGATTCTTTTTATCTTTGATTTCTCGTTCTCTAAATTTAAAGACGGACTGTTTAGCCTGTTCGGCACGTACTAGAGCTTTTAATTTTTTATTTGTAAGCAACACTCACCCAATTGGTTAACCAGTTATAGTGGCATATTTTAATTATCATTTTGGTTGAAAAAACAAACAATATCATGTTTGATTTTCCGTTGTTACCATTAATGAAAATAACTAAAAGAAAAACACTAATTCATTGTCTCTTATTTTTCTTCCATCGCCTATTTTTCCCTTTCATAGCC